GGCACAGGGGGAAAATCTACCCTGGCAACACAAAGATATGCGTAGCTCCACCGAGCTACATTACTCTCACAATTAACAATCACCCACAAGGACAAGGGGGCAGAGGGAACACTTATACACAGACTAATTAGGGGATAGGAACCAGGTGTGTGTGATTGACAAGACGAGACAATTGTGATGATGATTGGGACGGCAGTGGTTAGTAAGCCGGTGACGACAAACGCCGAAGCTTGCCCGAACAAGGAGGGGAGGCAGCCTCGGCCGAAGTCGTGACAACGTTCATCTGTACAAACAATAGTACGCAAGTATAAACACCATGGGACCACGCACCCGTCATACCGCTCAGGAAGGAGACGCGTTCTGTCTCCTAGAGATTAATGTACTTTGGTGCAAAAAGTGCAAATCAATCCCAGAACAACAGCAAAGGACCTTGTGAAGATGCTGGAGGAAACAGGTACAAAAGTATCTATATCCACAGAAAACGAGTCCTATATCGACATAACCTGAAAGGCCGCTCAGCAAGGAAGAAGCCACTGCTCCAAAACCGCCATAAAAAAGCCAGACTACGGTTTGCAACTGCACATGGGGACAAAGATCGTACTTTTTGGAGAAATGTCCTCTGGTCTGATGAAACAAAAATGGAGGAAAAAGGGGGTGCTTGCAAGCCGAAGAACACCATCCCAACCGTGAAGCATGGGGGTGGCAGCATCATGCTGTGGGGGTGCTTTGCTGCAGGAGGGTCTGGTGCACTTCACAAAATAGATGGCATCATGAGGAAGGAAAATGATGTGGATATATTGAAGCAACATCTCAAGACATCAGTCAGGAAGTTAAAGCTTGGTCGCAAATGGGTCTTCCAAATGGACAATGACCGCAAGCATACTTCCAAAGTTGTGGCAAAATGGCTTAAGGACAACAAAGTCAAGGTATTGGAGTGGCCATCACAAAGCCCTCAATCCTATAGAACATTTGTGGGAAGGACTGAAAAAGTGTGTGCGAGCAAGGAGGCCTACAAACCTGACTCAGTTAAACCAGCTCTGTCAGGAGGAATGGGCCAAAATTCACCCAACTTATTGTGGGAAGCTTGTGGAAGGCTACTCGAAATGTTTGACCCAAGTTAAACAATTTAAAGGCAACGCTACCAAATACTAATTGAGTGTATGTACACTTCTGACCCACTGGGAATGTGATGAAAGAAATAAAAGCTGAAATAAATCATTCTCTCTACTATTATTCTGACATTTCACATTCTTAAAATAAAGTGGTGATCCTAACTGACCTAAGATAGGGCATTTTTACTAGGATTAAATGTCAGGAATTGTGTAAAACTGAGTTTAAATGTATTTTGCTAAGGTGTATGTAAACTTCCGACTTCAACTGTATATAATGCTTATCTTTATAAAAAATATTCAGATGGAAAATTAACGAATTAGCCTCCTTCTGTACATATATATCTCTATGGCAGACACAGTAGCCATCTGACATAAAGAAATGTATGTCGGAGTTGTAGCATGCTGCTAGCATAGCTCTCTCTATCTCTCTGGGAATAGGCCTAAGCTTCTCTTCTTTCATATGGCTATATATTTTTTTTAAATATATTTATATCTTACAGTGGACACCTAAGCCTATAGGCCTATGCGTGCAATGCCCTGATGCATTTAGTGCCAAGTCGGATCTGAATGCATGGATGTCCAGTAAATTTCTCAAATGTCTGGTAAATTAACATCTTCCCCATCACGTTGTCCGGTGCCAAATTTTCCTAAAGGAAACCCTGACATGTACATATTGTTTTTATGCAGATTTTAGAATATTCGCATGTAAATCTGTCGCCAATTGGATGGAAACCTATAGACACCCTAAAGACTCTGGCAAGTGCGCTAGTCCAGAGTCACTTTGATTATGCCTTTTATTTTATTTTTATTTAACCTTTATTTAACCAGGTAAGCCAGTTGAGAACAAGTTCTCATTTACAACTGCGACCTGGCCAAGATAAAGCAAAGCAGTGCGATAAAAACAACAACACAGAGTTACATATGGGGTAAACAAAACAAAGTCAAAAATACAAACAGAAAATATATATACAGTGTGTGCGAATGTAGTAAGTTATGGAGGTAAGGCAATAAATAGGCCATAGTGGAAAATAGTTACCATTTCGTATTAACACTGGAATGATAGATGTGCAAAAGATGATGTGCAAATGGAGATACTCGGGTACAAATTAGCAAAATAAATAACAATATGGGGATGAGGTAGTTGGGTGGGCTAATTTCAGAATGGCTGTGTACAGGTGCAGTGATCGGTAAACTGCTCTGACAACTGACGCTTAAAGTTAGTGAGGGAGATAAGAGTCTCCAGCGTCAGAGATTTTTGCAGTTCGTTCCAGTCATTGGCAGCAGAGAACTGGAAGGAATGGCGGCCAAAGGAGGCGTTGGTTTTGGGGATGACCAGTGAGATATACCTGCTGGAGTGCAGACTACGGGTGGGTGTTGCTATGGTGACCAGTGAGCTAAGGTAAGACGGGGATTTGCCTAGCAGTAATTTATAGATGACCTGGAGCCAGTGGGTTTGGCGACGAATATGTAGTGAGGGCCAGCCAACAAGGTTGGAACTAGCAGCCCCAAACATCTAAAGAATAAGCTACAGACTAGGGTTGAATATTTTCCCGGTATTTCACAAATGTTCCATCCCGAGAATAATCACTTTTCTCCCGAGTAACCCAGTATTTCGCGCCCAAACCGGAAGTGTCATTCTAAGGCATATAAAGCATATTAATATGTCTGGATTTGATTCGAGCTTTGATCGGCATGAAAATTCAAGTCTACCTGAGCCTAATGAGCCATAAATTAAAGACATTTTATGAGCCCAAGCACCAAAAAAGCACCAAATTATTGTGCCGTTATCCAATACGTAGCCTATGATATAGGCTGTGTACATTTACATTACATTTACGACATTTAGCAGACGCTCTTATCCAGAGCGACTTACAAATTGGTGCATTCACCCTATAGCCAGTGGGATAACCACTTTACAATTTTTTTTGTTTGTTTGTTTTTTTAAATCTTTTTTTTTTTTATTAAGGGGGGGGTAGAAGGATTACTTTATCCTATCCCAGGTATTCCTTAAAGAGGTGGGGTTTCAAATGTCTCCGGAAGGTGGTGAGTGACTCCGCTGTCCTGGCGTCGTGAGGGAGCTTGTTCCACCATTGGGGTGCCAGAGCAGCGAACAGTTTTGACTGGGCTGAGCAGGAACTATGCTTCCGCAGAGGAAGGGGAGCCAGCAGGCCAGAGGTGGATGAACGCAATGCCCTCGTTTGGGTGTAGGGACTGATCAGAGCCTGAAGGTACAGAGGTGCCGTTCCCCTCACAGCTCCATAGGCAAGCACCATGGTCTTGTAACAGATGCGAGCTTCAACTGGAAGCCAGTGGAGTGTGCGGAGGAGCGGGGTGACGTGAGAGAACTTGGGAAGGTTGAACACCAGACGGGCTGCGGCATTCTGGATGAGTTGTAGGGGTTTAATGGCACAGGCAGGGAGCCCAGCCAACAGCGAGTTGCAGTAATCCAGACGGGAGATGACAAGTGCCTGGATTAGGACCTGTGCCGCTTCCTGTGTAAGGCAGGGTCGTACTCTCCGAATATTGTAGAGCATGAACCTGCAGGATCGGATCACCGCCTTGATGTTAGCGGAGAACGACAGGGTGTTGTCCAGGGTCACGCCAAGGCTCTTCGCACTCTGGGAGGAGGACACAACGGAGTTGTCAACCGTGATGGCGAGATCATGGAACGGGCAGTCCTTCCCCGGGAGGAAGAGCAGCTCCGTCTTGCCAAGGTTCATCTTGAGGTGGTGATCCGTCATCCATACTGATATGTCTGCCAGACATGCAGAGATGCGATTCGCCACCTGGTTATCAGAAGGGGGAAAGGAGAAGATTAGTTGTGTATCGTCAGCATCCACTGTACTGTACCTCCAGACTGGTAAAGTTGTGTTAAGGACATATGTACATTTTCACAGCCTATGATATAGGCTACTGCACATTAGGCACAACAGAAAAACAGAAAAGCCCATAGATGTAGCTATGTTAAAAAATAACGTGACCTCTGAAAGCCAGATGGAGATGTGTAAATTAGATGTGCATTCAGTCCTTATATTACTGTAACATATGCTGCAGCAAAAGTAGGGACCACAATGGAAATAACTTTTATTTGTATATGTATTTTTTTTCACTGGCAAATAAAATCAATCAATCAATCAATCCAAACTGTGCAGGCAATTTGATGAATAGAAAGAGACATCTGTTACAAAACACCAAAAAGTTTAATGACATTCAGAGATTGTGAGGGATGTGTTTTCTGTTTGTCGAGATTGACATAGTCTATTTATTGTGGAGTTAAAAACGCAAACAATGTCGGTATGTTTTGTTTATTGGTTGTGTGGTGCATTGGCACAGAAACCTGTTGGTGGAAAATTCGTTGCATATATTTTATATAATTATAAATGTTGAAAATTGTATTTCCCCCTAGCTCATCATTGTCTGCAACCGGCTCTGATGATGAAGTAATGAAACAGGCAGGGACAGTGAGATCCTCTGTGGTGGTCTGCGAACCCTCAACCTTCTGATTGTTTTTTTTCTTATTATTTTAAGTTAATTCTATTTAGGGGAAGGGTGTTCAATTTATTTTACAGTACAATGGGAGGGTCATGTGAAAATGTACATATGTCCTTAACACAACTTTACCAGTCTGGAGGTACAGTACAGTGGATGCCAACTAATTCACGTGACAATGGGAGACTACCGGTGATGTAACTCCTCGAGAAATACTGTACATTTGAGCCTTCCATCCTCAGGAAAATTGCCCTGATTTCTCCAAAGAGCTGTCGCACGTTTAACTGGTTTAGAGCTGCGTCAGTAATCCAACTGCGGCGTAGAAGATCTTCCGTCCTCGCCACACTAGACAGGTCATCGCGCCCACAGCACAATGTTGGGAGGGAAGTTATTCAAGCAATGAATCCTGCGAATTTAGCTAACACTGAAAATAATACAGAAGAATATATATTTGCGGTTGGTACTTACAAACTCCTTGCTTTTGCCATCGGAACAATCGGAGTCTTCGGATTTTGCAACAATATTATTGTAATCGTGCTTTACTACAGATTCAAGAGACTCCGGACGCCCACAAATTTGTTAATAGTAAACATAAGTATAAGTGACTTGTTGGTGTCTGTCATTGGAATAAACTTTACGTTTGTTTCGTGCATCAAAGGCGGATGGGTCTGGAACTCGGCAACATGCATTTGGGACGGATTCAGCAACAGTTTATTTGGTTAGTAGATCTTCAGTCCTTTTTGGGTGTCGCGCCAAGATTCACACATATTAAAGGGGCAATCTGAAGTTCAAACAATAACAAAGCTGTTTATATATTCTTCAAGAATCAATGAGTAGCCTATATATAATTAAAATAAATGGATGTAGAAATCTCAGATTACCCCTTTAAGAGTTATTTCAAAATATGTTTTTATATATTTGAATAATCCATGTAATGTTTAGTGGCATCCTTTCCATTTCTTTTGTATTTCATGTTTTTATGTGTTAAAAATGCTCAGATAAAGAAGTGTAGTCTTTTGGGCTATTGCATTTTCATAAGTGATCCCATAAACGTCTATTGCAGGGGACAGTTCCTATCCATCTTATTCTAAGGGAGAACTGTTTAGCCCACGTTCTCTCTATTGATTTATGAAACCAGTCTTTTTATAGTTGTGGATGTTTATGAATGCCATTGCCACTATGCAAATCACTATGTGGATGAAAACTTAAAGCTGGTTAGTGCAACCTTCACGCCCTCTGCTCTCTCTCTCTCTCTCTCTCTCTCTCTCTCTCTCTCTCTCTCTCTCTCTCTCTCCTCTCTCTCTCTCTCTCTCTCTCTCTCTCTCTACCCTCATCTCTCTTAGGCACATGTAACCTACTGTTGGCTAACCACAAGGTTCACCAATTTAATTATATGGTTGACTTTCCTCATCTGTCCAATATTTTCATATTGTAAACATCTTACATGTAAAAAAAAAAAAGAAGAAAAATTATGATATTTCTTGACTCGAATGGTTCATTCTTGCTGGATGGATGGGTGTTACTGTAGTACATGTGGATAAAACAACATGGTCATTTGACTTTGATGCTCGCATTGTACACTATGCACCTCACTAAGGCGAGACACCTTGATAAGACCGTGCTGCCTGCTTGCCTGCCCCCCTTCATCACCTCCCTTAGATGACCACTCAAGCCATTAACTTTCTAATGACTGTCCATCTCATGATATTGTGATGTTGTTTTTACCAGCCTGGTCTCATAGACTAGAGGTAACATAGTAAATGTAAATCCGGGACACTCAAATTACACTGAAAAATATATATATAAACGCAACATGTAAAGTGTTGGTAGCATGTTTCATGAGCTGACATAAAAGATCCCAGAAATGTTCCAAACAGACAAAAAGCTTATTTCTCTAAAATGTTGTGCACAAATTTGTTTACATCCCTGTCAGTGAGCATTTCTCCTTTGCCAAGATAATCCATCCACCTGACAGGTGTGGCATATCAAGAAGCTGATTAAATTGCATGATCATTGCACAGGTGCACCTTGTGCTGGGGACAATAAAAGGCCACTCTAAAATGTGTAGTTTTGTCACACAACACCAGTGGCGACCCGTCAATCTGTTTTGAGCCCCATCGGTTTTGAGCCCCACCTGTTGAGCTAAAAGTTTTTTTTGTTGTTGCCTGTTTAGCAAGTTATTTTGGCATTAATACGTGTCACATATCAGTTTGCAAACAATGTAAAAAAAAATCATTGAGTAAATAGAGTCGCATACAAACAGTGCCTCCTGTGGTGGTGGGACAGCCAGCGGAAAATATGGAGCATAGGGGTTGGTAACGTTCTCTAGTTGCGCCGTGATTGGCTCAGTGTTCTGTCACTCATGGGGACATAGGGCGGCGCACAATTGGCCCAGCGTTGTCTGGGTTTGGCCGGGAAAGGCGGTCATTGTAAATAAGAATTTGTTCTTAACTGACTTGCCTGGTTAAATAATTTTTTTTTAAAAAACATTAGAATTGCCCATCCAAGAAGGCTCAAGGTCATTGGCCACAGATAGAATTATGCCAAATCACGTTATATCTACCGTAGCTTTGATTGGACTGATCATGTCAACATCATACTTTCTAAATCTTACCTAGCAAGCTAGCAGTCATCATCATGAATCAAGTCGAATATCTACTGGCAAATCCTTTTCAATCCTTGTCATATGAAGAGAAATTATGAAGAGAAATTATAGATAAAACGTATCGGTGCTCATCGGCCATTGGACATAAACATTACACAACAAATTGGAAATCACAAATTCAACAATGAGTGGTTTAGAAGTTATCAGTAGCTAACTGCAAGCGTTGCAAATAAATCACTAGCCTGTTATTCAGTGGGTGTGTGGTCCAAGTCTGGTTTAAGGGTCTCTTTTCTAAGCTTAAAAGGATAAACATTCGACACCATGGGCGTTGGCCATGCTGTCAATCCAGCATGACTTCTGCCGCATTCAAAACAACTGGAAACTCGGAATTGGGAAATCTCAGACTTCAGTGAGTTCAAGACAACTGGGAACTAGGAAAAAACTGTCATCCAACTCGGAATTCCAAGTCGGGAACTCGGGCCTCTTTCTAGAGCTCCGACCTGAAGATCACTGACGTCATGATTCAACCTTGTTTTTTTCCGAGTTCCCAGTTGTCTTGAAAGCACCATAAATCCAGAGAATGCCAGACTTTGATGACAAGGGTTAATGACAAAATTTGCCCACAAGGACCACCGTGCCACCTTCCTGTTAAAGTGAGCACAACAAGGTGAGTCCAAACATTTATTGTATGCTGCTGCATAAATGATGTAATATGCCAGGGAGATACAGTGAGGGAAAAAAGTATTTGATCCCCTGCTGATTTTGTACGTTTGCCCACTGACAAAGACATGATCAGTCTATAATTTTAATGGTAGGTTTATTTGAACAGTGAGAGACAGAATAACAACAAAAAAATCCAGAAAACGCATGTCAAAAATGTTATAAATTAATTTGCATTTTAATGAGGGAAATAAGTATTTGACCCCTCTGCAAAACATGACTTAGTACTTGGTGGCAAAACCCTTGTTGGCAATCACAGAGGTCAGACGTTTCTTGTAGTTGGCCACCAGGTTTGCACACATCTCAGGAGGGATTTTGTCCCACTCCTCTTTGCAGATTTTCTCCAAGTCATTAAGGTTTCGAGCCTGACGTTTGGCAACTCAAACCTTCAGCTCCCTCCACAGATTTTCTATGGGATTAGGCCACTCCAGGACCTTAATGTGCTTCTTCTTGAGCCACTCCTTTGTTGCCTTGGCCATGTGTTTTGGGTCATTGTCATGCTGGAATACCCATCCACGACCCATTTTCAATGCCCTGGCTGAGGGAAGGAGGTTCTCACCTAAGATTTGACGGTACATGGCCCGTCCATCGTCCCTTTGATGTGGTGAAGTTGTCCTGTCCCCTTAGCAGAAAAACACCCCCAAAGCATAATGTTTCCATCTCCATGTTTGACGGTGGGGGTGGTGTTCTTGGGGTCATAGGCAGCATTCCTCCTCCTCCAAACAGTTGATGCCAAAGAGCTCGATTTTGGTCTCATCTGACCACAACACTTTCACCCAGTTCTCCTCTGAATCATTCAGATGTTCATTGGCAAACTTCAGACGGGCCTGTATATGTGCTTTCTTGAGCAAGGGGACCTTGCGGGCACTGCAGGATTTCAGTCCTTCACGGCGTAGTGTGTTACCAATTGTTTTCTTGGTGACTATGGTCCCAGCTGCCTTGAGATCATTGACAAGATCCTCCTGTGTAGTTCTGGGCTGATTCCTCACCGTTCTCATGATCATTGCAACTCCACGAGGTGAGATCTTGCATGGAGCCCCAGGCCGAGGGAGATTGACAGTTCTTTTGTGTTTCTTCCATTTGCGAATAATCACACCAACTGTTGTCACCTTCTCACCAAGCTGCTTGGCGGTGGTCTTGTAGCCCATTCCAGCCTTGTGTAGGTCTACAATCTTGTTCCTGACATCCTTGGAGAGCTCTTTGGTCTTGGCCATAGCGGAGAGTTTGGAATCTGATTGATTGATTGCTTCTGTGGACAGGTGTCTTTTATACAGGTAACAAGCTGATATTAGGAGCACTCCCTTTAAGAGTGTGCTCCTAATCTCAGCTCGTTGCCTGTATAAAAGACACCTGGGAGCCAGAAATCTTTTTGATTGAGAGGGGGTCAAATACTTATTTCCCTCATTAAAATGCAAATCAATTTATAACATTTTTGACATGCATTTCTCTGGATTTTTTTGTTGTTATTCTGTCTCTCACTGTTCAAATAAACCTACCATTAAAATTATAGCCTGATCATTTCTTTGTCAGTGGGCAAACATACAAAATCAGCAGGGGATCAAATACTTTTTTCCCACACTGTATGTATACTGTAGCTAAAAAAGTAATACTAAGTGTATGTTGTGTAGTAAGCTGTTAGTAGCCCATATGCCTCACCTTAATAATTACGTCCTTTTCCCCCTCATAATGTAGCCTACTGTTCTGACTTGGTGGTGCCTATAGCCTGTTTTAGAGAAATTGAATCATCAAATATTGTACGATTTTTCATTGTCTGCTTACATGTCCCCTTTATTTATGCTACGGTTCTGACTAGGTGTACAGGGAGAATACGGTATGAACGGCCCATGTTCTGAATTCTGTTACTGTACATTTCAAAAGTGCTGAACAAATAGTTATATTGACTACGTCCGTCCTAGCAAAATTTGGAGAGTTTGCCCCACCAAGATTTACATAATGCCACAGATGTCTCAAGTTTTGAGGGAGCTTGCAATTGGCATGCTGACTGCAGGAATGTCCACCAGAGCTGTTGCCAGAGAATTTAATGTTAATTTCTCTACCATAAGCCGCCTCCAACGTCGTTTTAGAGAATTTGGCAGTACGTCCAACCGGCCTCAACCGCAGACCACATTTAACCACGCAAGCCCAGGACCTCCACATCCGGCTTCTTCACTTGCAGGATCATCTGAGACCTGCCACCCAGACAGCTGATGGAACTGAGGAGTATTTATGTCTGTAATAACGCCCTTTTGTGGGGAAAAACTCATTCTGATTGACTAGGCCTGGCTCTACAGTGGCTGGGGGTGCAGCCATGGGTGTGCTGCCATGGGTGTGCCTGGGAGGGCATAGGCCCACCCACTTGGGAGGTAGACCCACCCATGGCTGCGCCCCTGCCCAGTGGTGAAATCCATAGATTAGGGCCTAATTAATTTATTTCAATTGACTGAATTCATCATAAGAACTGTAACTCGGTAAAATCTTTTAAATTGTTGCATGTTGCGTTTATATTTTTGTTCATTATAGAATGATATGTTACGTTTTGTACAGTCACATAGGACAGAAGGTTACTTAAGGCAAAAACTAAAATAGGTCCGGGTGGATGGGTAAGCATATAATGCTAACTTCTAGCAACCCAAAGGTTGTGTGTTCGAATCTCATCATGGACAACTTTAGCATATTAGCTACTTTGCAACTACTTAGCATATTAGCTAACCTTAACCCTAACCTCTAGCCTAGCTAATGTTAGCCAGCTAGCTAACAATAGTGTTAGCCACCTAGCCACCTAGCTAATAAATTGGAATTCGTAACATATCATACGTTTTTCAAGTCTGTAACATATTGTACGAATTGCAATTCATAGCATATCATACGAATAGTAATTCATAACATATCATACTAAATGAATGATGGACATCCACAAATTAATACATACCATACGAAACATAACATATCATGCTAAATGGAGTGTTTGAGATTGACATACATAATTATACAAAATTCTCTGAGACCAGGTTGTTTTTTCTAAATTGCTTGTATTTTTTGTTGCTTTAAAGCGCTTTGAGATTCTTTATGTAATGAATAGCGCTATAATAGTTTGATAAATTATTATTATTATTATTATTGTTACTATGATCCAAGTTTGCTTTTGAACAGATCAATAAAATGTGAAGGGCTTTTCAAAATGCACAACAATAGCCCAAACTGACAAAAATATATTTCTATACCAGTGTATCCTACAGAAGGACAGCCTGCACCAATGCAGAGACACTGAAAAAGACGCTGGTTAATATAACAATTAATTATAATTAGCCTACAGGCACACTAAATCCCCTCAGAAAGAGAGTTGAATGGTAGAGATTATTGATACCAAATTAATTTACTACAGCATGTGAAACCACTCACACATTATTCAAGTCTAAATTTGGATGACTATCTAAGGACATCCTGCACCTGTTACACCTATTGCACTCATGCAGCGTGGTGCTGTCAGTTTGACCTGTACCGACATGTTATACAGTATATTAGTTGTGTTATAGTGTGCAGTAACACTGTGCTCAAACAAGGCCCTCTATAATGTAACACAACTGTCCTGCAACACTTGGTGTTGATTGGGCAAAATGTCTGGCAAAAGTAATTGCTGTGCAATGGAGAAACTGAACGCTACCAAATGTAATTAAAGGGGATTTACACAACAAACAAAAAAAATGTGTTAGTGTTTTTCTTCCAGACTTCATAGATGGTCTTCTGATGTGATTTAAGCATTGACATGGACTCAGACCATCCATTTACGTTGTTTCTCTATGAATAATTGTAATTGTAAGAGTAAAACACAGAAGAAAAGAATTCCTAAACCAGGACACATAAAACAGAGAAAACAGAATTCAGGAAAATACAAAATATAATTTTATGGGGCCCCCTTAGAGTTGTTTATTAACCATTAGCCAGGTATATTGACAGAAAACACATCTCTTGTACACCAAGGACCTGGTGAAAAGTTGCATGGTAGAGGAGAAGAATATGCTTATTTAAAGGCTATAAAAAAAATGAGTAGCTCGTGACATGTTACATTTTTTATGCTAGAAAATGTTGGAGACCCCTGCAATAGAATATTTATGATATTGAATATACAGTATATTGAGAAAATATTCGATTGAGAACTGAGTAATAACTGTAATAAAATCATCATCAGGTGGGTGCTTACATTTGTCCTATTTCACACATGTACAAGTGTGTGTTATAATCATGTGAATTGGAAATTCGTTTTTTGCATATTCCAATATCCCTGAGACACCCTTGGAGGTTTGACTGCGACCCTGGAGCAATTAAGGTTAAGTACCTTGCTCAAGGGCACATCGACAGATTTTTTGCCAGTTTGGGGATTAGAAGCAGCAAGCTTTCGGTTACTGGCCCAATGCTCTTAACTGCTAAGCTACATGCCGCACCCCAAGATAAGGTATACTTTATTAGTCCAGACAAAAATGTATCTTATTATTTTACCCAACCCCTCCGATATACACACACACATACACACAAACACACATTAGGTTGGAGAGGCTAGAGCAGTGGGCAGCCTCGGTGCAGTGCCCAATGAGCAGTTTAGGGGGTTAAGTTCCTTGCTTAAGAGAACATCGGATGTAGGTGTTACCTCAGATATTGATGCCAGCAACCCTCCCGGTTCCCGGCTCACTCCCGCCAGATTTCTTTCCCCTGTCGGCACTGGGATTCAAACAGGAAACCCTCCGGTTGCTGGCCCGCTTCTCTAACCTCGGGGCTACCGTGTACAGAATAACAGTGTAATAACCAATAGACAGTAATAATCAGGGCCTACATATGGATATTTCATAACCCAGATTCGCTATCATTACTCAGCATCATCACCCATCTCCCTCCCTTCCAGGCATCGTGTCCATCATGAGTCTCTCGGCCCTGGCCTATGAGCGCTACATCCGGGTGGTCCATGCTAAGGTGGTGGACTTCCCCTGGGCCTGGAGGTGCATCACTTACATCTGGCTCTACTCCCTGGTCTGGACAGGGGCTCCTCTTCTGGGGTGGAACCGCTACACCCTGGAGATCCACCAGTTAGGCTGCTCTCTGGACTGGACTTCCAAGGACCCTAACGATGCCTCCTTCATTCTCTTCTTTCTCCTGGCCTGCTTCTTCGTACCAGTGGGCATTATGATCTACTGCTATGGGAACATTCTTTACACAGTGCAAATGGTAAGAACAAGGACACTAAAATGGCATTATCATCATTTTCACAATTTCACAGTATTATTCCAACCTCATAGTGTAGAAATATATATAAAACACAGGAAAATCACGTTTTTGACTGCACTGGGCCTTTAAATAAAAGGCTTAAATCAAAGGTAGGCTAGTACTTACATTCAACAAGGACGCAAGACAAACAAAGCGAACTCGACCAAACAATGGCGAAATGATGTAGCAGCCTACAAATGAAATTCTAGTGCATGCGCTTGGGGATCTGAGGCCGATGCCAATATTAAGTACCACTGAATGTCATTGTGTCCTCTGTGGCCTCATTAAGCATAAGAAAGATGGAGACTTATCTTCTCTCCTTCATTAACAACCAGAGGATCAAGCATATCATCTTTCATAAAAAGTCCTCTCTTTATCTTCTGTAAAGGTCTGAAAGAAGTGAGCTGACATTCACATGCAGAGACAATCTTATTTTTTGTGGGGAGTGCATAAGGTCAGTACAAGTGACATATAATCCCCCCCCCAAATCCTCAGGGCATGGACTCTGCAAGGTGTCGAAGGCATTCCACAGTGATGCTGGCCCATGTTGACTCCAGTGCTTCCCACAGTTGTGTGAAATTGTCTGGATGTCCTTTGGGTGGTGGACCATTCTTGATACACACGTGAAAAACACAGCACATTATAGTTCTTGACACAAACCGGTGTGCCTGGCACCTACTACCCCGTTCAAAAGCACTTCAATATTTTGTCTTGCCCATTCACCCTCTGACTGGCATACATACACAATCCATATCTCAATCAAAATCCTTCTTTAACCTGTCTCCGCCCCTTTATCTACACTGATTGAAGTGGATTTAACAAGTGACATCAATAAGGGATCATAGCTTTCACCTGGTCAGTCTATGTCATGTATACTCCAGTGTATAACTGGAATGTCTTTTGTTGTTTTTTACATATTCTAATTAGACCATGTTAGTGAGTGATGAGATTCTTTCCTATTGTCATTCCCAACAGCTCCGCTCCATCCAGGACCTTCAGACAGTGCAGATCATTAAGATCCTGCGCTACGAGAGGAAGATGGCCGTCATGTTCCTCTTGATGATCTCCTGTTTCCTGGTGTGCTGGACGCCCTACGCCGTGGTGTCCATGATGGAAGCCTTTGGCAGGAAGAGCATGGTCACCCCCGCCGTCGCCATCATCCCCTCCTTCTTCGCCAAGTCCAGCACGGCCTATAACCCTCTCATCTACATCTTCATGAGCAGAAAGGTGATGGGACCTCTGACCTGACACACTTATGCTGATAGCAGAAAGGCTTGGAAACAAGCCCTTTCCCAAATTTAAAGGGAAAACACACTTCAAAATCAAAGTTTATCTGATGTTTTCAACCTCATTGTAGCATAATAGCTGAATATACAAAACACATGACCTGGGACATGGATTTATCTCAGCAGAAGACCACTTTTGAGGGCTAAAAACATCTGACAAACTTTGGAGTGTAATGTCCCTTCAACATACCACACTGATGAACTTAAACAGTAAAATAAAATCTCTGTAAACGTTCACAATAATGTCATTTTGTTACTTAGTCTTGTAGTTTGGCTAGAATATCAAATCAAATCCAATTTTATTGGTCGTATACACCAGTGGAGGCTCCTCAGAGGAGGAAGGGGAGGACCATCTTCCTCTGTGAATTTCATAAAAATAAAAATTGAAACATTGAAAAAGTTATCCTTTTTAGATAAAACTATACTAAATACTAAATATATTCACGTCACCAAATAATTGATTAAAACACACAGTTTTGCAATGAAGGTCTACAGTAGTCTCAACAGCACTCTGTAGGGTAGCACCATGGTGTAGCCGGAGGACAGCTAGCTTCCGTCCTCCTCTTGGTACATTGACTTCAATACAAAACCCTGGAGGCTCTTGGTTCTCACCCCCTTCCATAGACTTACACAGTAATTATGACAACTTCTGGAGGACATCCTCCAACCTATCAGAACTCTTGCAGCATGAACTGACATGTTGTTCACCCAATCAAAGGATCAGAGAATAAATCTAGTACTGAAAGCATAAGCTACAGCTAGCTAGCACTGCAGTGCATAAAATGTGGTGAGTAGTTGATTCAAAGAGAAAGACAATAGTTTTCAACAAATTCATTTCTTCAAAAATGAAGGAGAAGCAAGAGAGAGAGAGTGTCATTTTTTTCAATTTCACTTACTTAGCTAGCAAATGCAGCTGGCTAGTTTAGGTACTCAAACACCGGCACAAACAGAGGGATGCTATGTTTGCTAGCTGGCTAGGACTAGCCAACACAACACTGGAACTCTTCCAGGTCAAGGTAAGCTTTTGGTTTAATTAATTTATTTCCACCGGGGCCCGCTGGTGTAACTGCTTACTGACTATACACTGTCTGTAACATTACTGTATGATTGTAGCGGGTTTTCTAACGCATTAGTTCTATTAGCTATGTTGACTAGGATGTTACTTTAGCTAATATGGGGACAACGATGTAGGCTGTGTGTAGCAGTTATGACATGGTTTGGCTTGGAAAGGTCTTTTCACCTGGTCACATACAGCTGATGTGTTCATTGAAGTCCACAAACGAAGGGAAAAGGTGAGAGGAGGAGAGTGCATAGAGGTGATGTCAGGCTGATGTGGATGTGGTGTAGGAGTCAGGCGCAGGACACAGAAGCTACTTCCAACAGACTTTACTGGAAGACACGATAATACAAAGAAACGGGCCTCAACAAAACAAGGAGGCGAGCGATTACGCAACAGTGTGCAAAAACACTCCAATGGCACAAGACTACGCAAAAGTGCGTCAGTACACGAAAACACAGTGGAGCAAAAATACAGCACCTACGGACAGGCGGAACAATTACACACAACTCACTACAAACCAAACAAGACACATATAGGGAACATAATTAACACTAACAGGAAACAGGTGAACAAGGAAGACAAAACCAAACAAACATCGATAACATACAATGGTGGCAGCTAGTACTCCGGGGATGACGACCGCAGAAGCCTGCCCGAGCAAGGAGGAGGAGCAGCCTCGGCCGAAACCGTGACAGGTGAGAAGGAATACAATGTGGCTGCTATGAAATTGAACTGGGTTTATGCGTGATCAGGGGTGTATTCATTCCGCCGATTGTGTTGAAAAACATTTCTTAAACGGAAGCAAACGAAACGGGAATAAATATACCTGAATTTGTCCAATAGAAACTCTCGTTTGCAACTGTTGGACTAATGATTTCACCCTAGATAAGCTAGATGCAGGCAAGAGTGTGCAAGGCGGTATTGAATGTGTCACTATCTGTCAACTCAAAATGTTCTCTTGACCTGTGTGCACCTACGTTGTAAACTTTCATTCATAGGCTAGGTTGTAGCAAACTCATGATGGGTATAGGGAAAATTTGAGTATCATGTAGTAGCCTAAACCTAACGATGTTACATTGAACTGGGTGAACGGAATATGAATGACAGTCATCCAACATGCTGTAATAGAAATAAGGCCATGCTCATGAAAAAATTAATCGTCCTCCCTCATCATAAACGGCACTGACCGCCACTGGCATACACATATTTAGCAGATGTTATTGCGGAGTCCGGAGTATATTATACATATATATATATATATATATATGTATGTATGTATATATGTATGGAATGTATACACATTATAGACATTATGGACAGTATGTGAATAGAATATTTAGTATATCTGTAGAATACGTAGGATAGAATAGTGTATATATACAGCAATAGTTGAATAGGATGTAATTGGCTAGAATACATATGAAATGAGTAAAACAGTATGTAAACATTATTAAAGTGACCAGTGATTCCATGTCTATGTACATAGGGCAGCAGCCTCTAAGGTTCAGGGTTGAATAACCGGGTGGTAGCCGGCTAGTGACAGTGACTAAGTTCAGGGCAGGGTACTGGGTGGAGGCCGGCTAGTGATGGCTATTTAACAGTCTGATGGCCTTGAGATAGAAGCTGTTTTTCAGTCTCTCGGTCCCAGCTTTGATGCACCTGTACTGGCCTCTCCTTCTGGATGATAGCGGGGTGTCCTTGATTATCTTTTTGGCCTTCCTGTGACATTGGGTGCTGTAGGTGTCCTGGAGGGCAGGCAGTGTGCCCCCGCTGATGCATTGGGCAGACCGCACCACCCTCTGGAGAGCCCTGCGGTTGTGAGCGGTGCAGTTGCCATACCAGGCGGTGATACAGCACAACAGGATGCTCTCAATGGTTCATCTGTAAAATGTTGTGATCTGATAGGATCTTAGTTTGAGCCAGTTTGCTACAGCAGGGAAATAATCCTGCAGCAACAGGAAATTCACAGTAAACGCTGCATATGTCGGCTCAATCTGAAATTACCTTAAAATTAAAATTGCGCTACAACGCTTTGAATGGGTTGAATCGAGCCCTTAATGTTAAAGTATTACCATGGTGTCTTTTCTTTTTGGGAAAGTGAACAAACACTTCCATTTGAGTAACACCACTCTTCCCTTGCTCTCTTTTTTCTCCTCCTCCTCCTGTTCCTCTTGCAGTTCCGGCACTGCTTGCTGCAGCTGTTGTGCTCCCGGCTCTCGTGGATTCAGCACAGCATCAAGGACCGCCCCCTGGCCCAGAGCATCGAGCGGCCCATCCGCCCAATCGTCATGTCCCACCGAGGGGATGGGGACCGACCAAAGAAGAGGGTGACCTTCAGCTCCTCGTCCATCATCTTCATCATCGCCAGCAACGACGTGCACCACCTGGACACCACCTCCAAGAGCGGCCGTTTGTTGTCAGTGGTCATGCAGGTGCGGCCGCTGTGACAGAGCATTATGGGTACTGTAGCACATCATGCTACATCCAGGTCACCATGGGAAATGACTAGTCACCTCCATCTATCACCTGTTCCTCTGTATTCATCCAGGTGTGGCCACTGTGACAGAGCATTATGGGTACTATAGCACATCATGCTACATCCAGGTCACCATGGGAAATGACTAGTCACCTCCATCTATCTCCTGTTCCTCTGTATTCATCCAGGTGCGGCCGCTGTGACAGAGCATTATGGGTACTGTAGTACATCATGCTACATCCAGGTCACCATGAGAACTGACTAATCACCTCCATCTATCACCTGTTCATCTGTATACCTCAGGACTTCCTCTCATGATACAGCAAACCCGGAGGTGTTTCCTCTCAAAAGCCAAAACACCTTTCTGACCCAAGACTGCTGGAAGTGTTTAATGTCCTGTTCACAGACTTTCTCGCCATGAACGCCGTGAACCGCTCTATCTACCATCAGCTGTGGTAAACAAATGATGTAGCTGTGAATTTGAGACATATTTCTCTTAACTTGTACCCTGTTGTTTTCAACGGCCCCTATCTAATCATGTCTGCCAGCCTTCGACATAATCTCATGCTGAGTTGATTGTTTTTTAACAGGACCTCCTGTGTGATACCGGAGGCCAGCAGTGTTAATGGACCAGTGATTGGCTGAGGAAGTGATATTGATAATTATTATTTTCCTGGTTGGCAGCACAATCGTGCTGAATGACTGTATACAGCTTCAAACTGATGGTAAAAAGCCTTACAATATTGCAGCAGCACATTCTGCACAACACTCTCTCCGCCTTTGTCACATCCAGATACAATGAAGAGATCATATTTTAAGAAAACCGCGGATGAGATGCAATTTTTAAAAATCTTCCTTATTTAATTTCACCACACTCGCTAGCGTGATAAGTGCAATCACTGTGAAATGACATTTGGTGGAATTATTCATGTAGAATAATATGAATGTAATTAAAGAGGGAAGAGATTGTGGTCAAGATCAGACTGGTTCCACAGTCTGCAGTGATAAGAAACTCCAGCGGCTCCAGGTTGCAGACGGAGCTAATTTCATAAGCCTCCTGGGTTGTCCCCTATGAAAACAGTTGATGAGGAGATTATTATCATATTCAGCTCCATATAGGCACCATGTCATCATATACACTACCAGTCAAAAGATTGGACACACCTACTCATTGAAGGGTTTTACTTCATTTTTACAATGTTTTTGACATTATAGAATAATAGTGAAGACATCAAAACTATGAAATAACACATATGGAATCAGACAGTGTTTTTCACCACCATCAACAACACACCAAATTATAGAATTTATTGTCGAAGAATGGTGTCGCATCCCTCCAATAGTGTTCCAGACTTGTAGAATCTATGCCAAGGCGTATTGAAGCTGTTCTGGCAGCTCGCGGTGGCCCAACGCCCTATTAAGACACTATGTTGGTGTTTCCATAATTTTGGCATTTATACCTGTACATTAACACAAAATGTGCCCCACAGGCCTTCAATTACAGTCAATTAAATGTTTATTAAGTACATGATGAAAAAATGACATTGGTAATTGGGTCACAGAACATTGTATTTTTCCATCTGTTTTGAGGTCAGTTGGGTTTGAGCTCTGCTGTTTGTAGCTCAGTTTTCACACCTCTATCTGGGTGGAAGTGGTATTAGCCCACAAACCCTCAGAAGGGACTCTTGAGGGCCTGTAGCCTGGTCCACAGCTGCTCGATGGAGATGTTTGGCATGTTAGGGGGGTATCTGACTAGCAGGTAGGAGCCCCCCACGACAGACGCTGCCACACATAACAGGCCTTGGTTGATCACCTGAGGGGAACAAAATAATTACATTTGTTAACTGGAAATCGAATTATCCTCCATCGTTAAGACAGTGGATGAATCAAATGCATTACTATTTAAATATTGAAAAATGTGGGCTACAAAAAGAAACAAAATAGCACAATTTGAGTCTTAAAAGCACTAGAAATAACCATTGGATGAAAAGTGAAAGGAAATGTTATTACGAGAATAAAAATAGGTGTTGAAGCTAAAAACAATCTGATGAGTGAAACTTAAGTCTCAGATCGATTGTCTATAGCCAAGTTAACCTCCCCTTTCATGCTCTGTTGCGCAGCTACAGGTAAACAATGCTTGAAACTCTGGTTGTAAAACTGCATTTGAAAAATTAAAGGAGTAGAGAAATAAATGTGGTAGCAATGGAAAAATAAGGTAAAAACTGCTTTCAAAATACATTTGCCAAAACTACTTTCAAAAGTGTTTTGCATTGACTGCTTGTCAGAATCAATGATTTATATATACACTAGATAACAAATAAGGGGTGCTGTGTTGAAGCCACCTTACCTCCATCTTGGCACTCCCCCACAATTGTAAAATATATTTTGGAAGCTATAGAAATGTATTTGTATTATATTACAGACACCTTAATGCATACGTTTAAAAAAAAATTATGTGAGCTAAACATACAAATAAAAAATATATTTCTAAAAAATCCTTAAAGTATAATGAGATTACTAATGTTGCTGTCCCCACTACAAAAAAAAGTATAATATTTAAACATGTAATATTGTCCTTATAATTGAAATACTGTAGAATTCCATTCATTCCTATGGTAGACTGCTCCTACTGGGGAGTGCCAATATGGGCGACCGATGGCTTCAAAGCCTCTCAATGGCCAATACATAGCATCAACAATCCATGGTATGTACAGTGAGGGAAAAAAGTATTTGATCCCCTGCTGATTTTGTACGTTTGCCCACTGACAAAGACATGATCAGTCTATAATTTTAATGGTAGGTTTATTTGAACAGTGAAAGAAAGAATAACAACAAAAAAATCCAGAAAAACGCATGTCAAAAATGGTATAAATTGATTTGCATTTTAATGAGGGAAATAGTATTTGACCCCTCTGCAAAACATGACTTAGTACTTGGTGGCAAAACCCTTGTTGGCAATCACAGAGGTCAGACGTTTCTTGTAGTTGGCCACCAGGTTTGCACACATCTCAGGAGGGATTTTGTCCCACTCCTCTTTGCAGATCTTCTCCAAGTCATTAAAGTTTTGAGCCTGACGTTTGGCAACTCGAACCTTCAGCTCCCTCCACAGATTTTCTATGGGATTAAGGTTTGGAGACTGGCTAGGCCACTCCAGGACCTTAATGTGCTTCTTCTTGAGCCACTCCTTTGTTGCCTTGGCCGTGTGTTTTGGGTTATTGTCATGCTGGAATACCCATCCACGACCCATTTTCTATGCCCTGGCTGAGGAAAGGAGGTTCTCACCCAAGATTTGACAGTACATAGCCCCGTCCATCGTCCCTTTGATGCGGTGAAGTTGTCCTGTCCCCTTAGCAGAAAAACACCCCCAAAGCATAATGTTTCCACCTCCATGTTTGACGGTGGGGATGGTGTTCTTGGGGTCATAGGCAGCATTCCTCCTCCTCCAAACACGGCGAGTTGAGTTGATGCCAAAGAGCTCCATTTTGGTCTCATCTGACCACAACACTTTCACCCAGTTCTCCTCTGAATCATTCAGATGTTCATTGGCAAACTTCAGACGGGCCTGTATATGTGCTTCTTGAGCAGGGGGACCTTGCGGGCGCTGCAGGATTTCAGTCCTTCACGGCGTCGTGTGTTACCAATTGTTTTCTTGGTGACTATGGTCCCAGCTGCCTTGAGATCATTGACAAGATCCTCCTGTGTAGTTCTGGGCTGATTCCTCACCGTTCTCATGATCATTGCAACTCCACGAGGTGAGATCTTGAATGGAGCCCCAGGCCGAGGGAGATTGACAGTTATTTTGTGTTTCTTCCATTTGCGAATAATCGCACCAACTGTTGTCACCTTCTCACCAAGCTGCTTGGCGATGGTCTTGTAGCCCATTCCAGCCTTGTGTAGGTCTACAATCTTGTCCCTGACATCCTTGGAGAGCTCTTTGGTCTTGGCCATGGTGGAGAGTTTGGAATCTGATTGATTGATTGCTTCTGTGGACAGGTGTCTTTTATACAGGTAACAAACTGAGATTAGGAGCACTCCCTTTAAGAGTGTGCTCCTAATCTAAACTCGTTACCTGTATTAAAGACACCTGGTAACCAGAAATCTTTCTGATTGAGAGGGGGTCAAATACTTATTTCCCCCATTAAAATCCAAATCAATTTATAACATTTTTGACATGCGTTTTTCTGGATTTTTTTGTTGTTATTCTGTCTCTCACTGTTCAAATAAACCTACCATTAAAATTATAGACTGAACATTTCTTTGTCAGTGGGCAAACGTACAAAATCAACAGGGGATCAAATACTTTTTTCCCTCACTGTATATACTGAGTATACCAAACATTAGGAACAACTTCCTAATATTGAGTTGCACCCCTGCCCTTTTGCCCTCAGAATAGCCTCAATTCATCGGGGCTAGACTCTACAGGATGTCGAAGGTGTTCCACAGGGATGCTGGCCCATGTTGAGTCCAGTGCTTCTCACAGTTGTGTCAAGTTGGCTGGATGTCCTTTGGGTGGTGGACCATTCTTGATACACACGGGAAACTGTTGAGCGTGAAGAACCCAGCAGTGTTGCAGTTCTTTACACAAACCGGTGTGCCGTTCAAAGGCACTTAAATATTTTGTCTTGCCCATTCACCCTCTGAAGGGCGCACATACACAATCCATGTCTCAATTGCTCAATTGACTTAAGGCTTAAAAACTATTCTTTAACCTGTCTCCTCCCCTTCATCTACACTGATTTGAAGTGGATTTAACAAGTGACATCAATAAAGGATCATAGCTTTCACCTGGATTCACCTGGTCAGTCTATGTCATGGAAAGAGAAGATGTTCTTAATGTTTTGTATGCTCAGTGTACATCATTGGTCAGAATACAGAATACATGCTTCCCTCATATGGCCCTCCCAACTTCCTCAAGAGGAATATTACTCTTGCATAGAACACACAAGAAGTCGTCTAGGTAAATAGGTAAACTATTCTACTATGGAGTTGTCTGATTTAGTTGTAATAATAACATTACATGGCAAAAAATAGGTGCACTGTAAAGTTACATCCTGAGTGATAAAGTATAGGCTTTAAATTACTTTGCCAGCAGCTATACACACCATCTGAACATCAGAGTGTCAGCAACAATCATGCATGTCAGTTCAGTGCACACAGCGTAACATAATATATATTTAGTAGAACAGACATGCTTCTGTCTATATTAGGCTATGTCATCTCCAAACCATCTCCAAACCTTTTGTCTATGGCTATTGTCTAAAAACCAATATGAAATAAAATCGAACCAAAAAAATCCCTCCATCCTTTTTCAAGTTAAATTTCTGTGCTGTGCTATAGCCACCATCTTCTCTCCCTTTGCCTCTCTCCCGTCACTTACACATGCCTTTCAGTCTGTACTTGAGTAATGTTTTGACGAAACCTTGACATCCCCCCGCATCCATAAGTTATTATATTTATTAGAAAAATGACACGTCATCAAAGATGGCAGGTCAGACAACTTGAAGCAGTGCCAGGGCCAACAGCCTCGACGAGTAACCTCAGCCTCTACAAATCATCATGGCCACCCACCATACCAACATCTCTTTGTCAGACAGGGAACTATATCTTATTTTTGGTTGCAACAAGACAAGCGCCCTACTGCATAATCTTGCTGGGTCACTCTGGTTAGAATTGATTCCCCTTTTCTGACCTTGCTTTTGAAAAGATGTTTGCAAAAGCAGTAGTACGATTTGCGCAGTTTCAAAATGTCAGAAAGGGCAGATACACACAAAGACACAACTGTATGAAAGAAAATTCTAAATGCATGCACTTAAAGACCCTTGTACAATGAAGAATGAACGTGTGTACAATGTCCTTTCTTACTTTGTCTTGCCAGTGCCAGCGTTTTACTGCCTCATGGTACCTTGTCCTGGTAAATGTAACCTGTGAATGGTGAAACACAGAAACACAAATACAGAAACACACAAATAGACTTTTAGAATCCTTCACAGTAATGCAAACTTAAAATCGTATTAAATGTACTATCAATTGGATTTAAATGTATTACGAAAAAACTTGCCATGGTGTATAAGGGGATTATTGTCCTTGGCATGATAATGTGGAGGAAATTGTCGACGTATTTTCGGAAGAGGAACCATTTGGAATTAACATGTGACCGCATCTAAAAGGATACAAAATACATCTGTTAGCAAATCAAGCCATCTGTACTCTGGATGAATCAGATTCATTACATGTACTCATCATACTGAAAAACCCATTATTTCTCCTGTAATGCATGTCATTTTCAAAATGACCATAGACCAACCGATTTCACATGCATTACCTACAGTATCATAAACCTTGTGCTTTTTTTTTGTTGCCCTTTTGAACATTTCACCTCCACAAATGCCATCAACAAACAAGCTCATTAAAGGGCATTGGGTGCCAATTTTCTCAAGTATCTCTGTAGAGCGAATGCTAAATTTAGCTCTGTAATCTAATGGAGTGCTGCGGCTGTGTGTGTCACGTGTGATCTCGGGGAAGAATGATTACACGGCTAACGTGACAGTATACAAGGGGAGGGTAACACTAAGACCAATTACCGTCTTTGTGCACAGAGGGATGAATTAAAGGATGGATGGTTAGTGTGAGCTGGCTTCCTGTCAGCATGTGATGGAGCGTTGGCCTGCTGTCAATTACTCCGGACTCAATCAACTCAATCTCCCCAACCTCTGCCCAAAGCAGAGGGAAATGTACGTACACCTCTCTGCTGTGCCTGTGGATAGTCTCTCTGAACATCTTGGAAGACAAGAGCTATGAAAAATGAAATGACAATAATCATTGATGCTAATTAGCTGGCGATAATTGGCATAATTGAGTCTGCAAATCACGTGGGATTCAGATAACCTTTGGATTCTGTCTTAGTGTTATGTTGTCTTCTTGGTGCCACTAATTCATTCAATGTGGCATCATTAAATGTTGGAGATTATATAGATTCATCCATTTATTAATCACACACTGTAAAAGCCATAATTGAGAAATGTTGAATCGATGACAATGGCCGTTAAGCTATTGATTGATGCAGACAGAGTCCAACCTAAGTAGATAACCTATTACGTTACACAGATATGAGGTTCAGCTCACATTTGCTCTTTCATTGATTAAAAAAGTCAACACCATGCCTTTTACAGGGCTACATTATCTAAATGGAGCTTTTTCATCATATAATTCTCCAGATCCAGTGTCGCTGAAATCAGGGGTGCGTGTTCAGGGGTAAGTGCTTAGTCCCCTCCTGTACTCCCTGTTCACCCACAACTGCGTGGCCAAGCACGACTATAACACCATCATTCAGTTTGCTGACGACACAAAGGTGGTAGGCCTGATCACCGACAACAATGAGACAGCATCAGCCTATAGGGAGGAGGTCAGAGACCTGGCAGTGTGGTGCCAGGACAACAACCTCTCCCTCAACGTGATCAAGACAAAGGAGATGATCGTGGACTAGAGGAAAAGGAGGGGCAAACACGCCCCCATTCACATCGACAGGGCTTTAGTGGAGCGGGTCGAGAGTTTCAAGTTCCTTGGTGTCCACATCACCAACAAACTATCATGGTCCAAACACACCAAGAAAGTTGTGAAGAGGGCACGACAATGCATTTTCCCCCTCAGGTTGCATCACCACCTGGTATGGCAACTGCTCGGCATCCGACCGTAAGGCGCTACAGAGGGTAGTGCGTACGGCCCAGTACATCACTGGGGCCAAGCTTCCTGCCATCCAGGATCTATATACTAGGTGGTGTCAGAGGAAGGCCCAAAAAACTGTCAGACTTCAGTCACCCAAGTCATAGACTGTTCTCTCTGCTAACGCACGGCAAGCGGTACCAGAGTGCCAAGTCTAGGTCCAAAAGGCTCCTTAACAGCTTCTATCTAAGCCATAAGACTGCTGAACAATTAATCAAAAGGCCACCCGGACTATTTACATTGACACCCACCCGCTTTGTTTTTACTATGCTGCTACTCGCTGTTTATTATCTATGCATAGTCACTTTACCCCTACCTACATGTACATATTACCTCGATTAACCTGTACCCCTGCACATTGATATTTTTTACTTTTGTTTATTTAGTAAATATTTTCTTAACTCTATTTTCTTAACTGTATTGTTGGTTAAGTGCTTGTAAGTAAGCATTTCACGGTAATCTCTACACCGGTTGTATTCGGCGCATGTCGGGAATAAAATTTGATCACTGTAGTTGTGCGTGGCAAAACTGGGTTGTATTCATTAGGCACCAAACCGTAGAAAACATTCTGAAACAGGGAGTAACTACTTGGAGTTGGTCATTTCCGTTTCCGTTGCAAAATGTTTGAAAATGTTTTTCGTTGCATGCCATGATGAATAAGACCCTGGTAATGGATTTTGTACAATAGCTAAATGGGTGCTCAATTACTTCGACGTAGTTGTACATGGCCAGGTCTGCGATGGCATGGTCGTCTGGGACTCGGACTCTGGTGTACTCAGGCAGAACAACACCTGAAAGAACCAGAATGAATAGAATATAATATATACAGTAGATTATACTTTATTGTCCATTGTGGTCAAAACGGAAATTTGTCTTCTGCCTTTTCCCAACAACCACAGACATACGCAGGTGCATGAAATAAAACATGTACAGTACCAGTAAAAAGTTTAGACACACCTACGCATTCCAAGGTTTTTCTTTATTTTTACTATTTTCTACATTGTAGAATAATAGTGAAGACATCAAAACTATGTAATAACACATATGGAATCATGTAGTAACCAAAAAAGTGTTAAATAAATCAAAATATATTTTATATTTGAGATTCTTCAAAGTAGCCATCCTTTGCCTTGATGACAGCTTTGCACACTCTTGGCATTCTCTCAACCAGCTTCATGAGGTAGTCACCTGGAATGCATTTCAATTAACAGGTGTGCCTTGTTAAAAGTTATTTTGTGGAATTTATTTCCTTCTTAATGCGTTTGAGCCAATCAGTTGTGTTGTGACAAGGTAGGGGTGGTATACAGAAGATAGCCCTATTTGTTAAAAGACAAAGTCCATATTATAGCAAGAACAGCTCAAATAAGCAAAGAGTAACGACAGTCCATCATTACTTTAAGACATGAAGGTCAGTCAATCCGGAAAATTTCAAGAGCAGTCGCAAAAACCATTAAGCGCTATGATGAAACTGGCTCTCATGAGGCCCGCCAGAAATGGAAGACCCAGAGTTACCTCTGCTGCAGAGTTAACTGCACCTCAGATTGCAGCCTAAATAAATGCTTCACAGAGTTCAAGTCACAGACACATCTCAACATCAACTGTTCAGAGGAGACTGCGTGAATCAGGCCTTCATGGTCGAATTGCTGCAAAGAAACCACTACTAAAGGACACCAATAATAAGAAGAGACTTGCTTGGGCCAAGAAACACGAGCAATGGACATTAGACCGGTGGAAATCTATCCTTTGGTCTGATGAGTCCAAATTGGAGATTTTTGGTTCCAACCGCCGTGTCTTTGTGTAGGTGAACTGATGATCTCTGCATGTGTGGTTCCCACCGTGAAGCATGGAGGAGGAGGTGTGATGGTGTGGGGGTGCTTTGCTGGTGACACTGTCTGTGATTTATTTAGAATTAAAGGCACAGTTAACCAGCATGGCTACTACAGCATTCTGCAGCGATACGCCATCCCATCTGGTTTGCACTTAGTGGGTCTATCATTTGTCTTTCAACAGGACAATGACCCAAAACACACCTCCAGGCTGTGTAAGGGCTATTTGACCAAGAAGGAGAGTGATGGAGTGCTGCATCAGATGACCTGGCCTCCACAATCCCCCGACCTCAACCCAATTGAGATGGTTTGGGATGAGTTTGACCGCAGAGTGAAGGAAAAGCAGCCAACAAGTGCTCAGCATGTGGGAACTCCTTCAAGACTGTTGGAAAACCATTCCTCATGAAGCTGGTTGAAAGAATGCCAAGAGTATGCAAAGCTGTCATCAAGGCAAAGGGTGGCTACTTTGAAGAATTTGAAATAGAAAATATATTTTCATTTGTTTAACACTTTTTTGGTTCCTACATGATTCCATATGTGTTATTTCATAGTTTTGATGTCTTCACTATTATTCCACAATGTAGAAAATAGTAACATTTAAGAAAAACCCTTGAATGAGTAGGTGTGTCCAAACTTTTGACTGGTACTGTATATTCAGCTCCACCAACAAAACAAACTCATTTAGCTGGTTGTTGAGGAAGTACTTTGACATCGGGGGGAAATGGATTTGGATACTTTGGTCCTCTGGCTGTCAAAGTACATTTGCTGTGCAGTCTGTAATATTCAGTGTGTTTACTCACTGAAGTCTTCGTTGAGCTGGTCCATGATTTCGTCGAAAACAAGGCAGTCTTCAAAGCCCTGGAAATAAGCTTAGTTAACTATATGTTTGAAATGACATTGAATCAAGGTGTCATATTTTATAATAAGAATAATAATGTATACCACTTAGTGTCCTGTCCAGGGGGTGTACTTGTACATCAAGCTGCCTCAAGCCATAAAAACAGGCACTCTTGCTCCTATCAGCCGTTCCGGCTCGCACAAGCCAAGGCTACTTTCTTATACCACTTAGCAGATACTTTTATCCGGAGCGACTTACAGTATGGTGAGTGCATACATTTATAGCAAAGGACACTTCAGAAAGTATTCATACCCCTTGACTTATTCCACATTTTGTTCAGTTACAGCCTGAATTCAAAATCGATTAAATCGATTATTTTTCTCACCCATCTACACACAATACCCCATAATAACATATTGAAAACATGATTTTAGACATTTTTGCAAATGTATTGAAAATTAAATACAGACATATCTCATTTACGTAAGTATTCACACCCCTGAGTCAATACTTTGGCAGTGATTACAGTTGCGAGTCTTTCTGGGTAAGTCTCTAAGAGCTTTCCACACCTGGATTGTGCAACATTTTTCAAGATTCTTCAAGCTCTGTCAAATTGGTTGTTGATCATTGCTGGACAAGCATTTTCAGGTCTTACCATATATTTTCAAGTAGATTTAAGTAAAAACTGTAACTCGGCCACTCAGGAACAACTCCAGTATATATTTGGCCTTGTGTTTTACGTTATTGTCCTGCTGAAAGGTGAATTCATCTCCCAGTGTCTGATGGAAAGCAGACTGAACTCCTGAAAAACTCCCCAGTCCTTAATGATTACAAGCATACCCATAACATTATGCAGCCACCACTATGCTTGAAAATATGGAGAGTGGCACTCAGTAATGTGTTTGCCCCAAACATAACACTTTGCATTCAGGACAAAAAGTGAATTGCTTTGCCACATTTTCTGCAGTATTACTTTAGTGCCTTTTTGCAAATAGGATGCATGTTTTGGAATATTTCTATTCTATACAGGTTTCCTTCTTTTCACTCTGTCAATTAGGTTAGTATTGTGGAGTAACTACAATGTTGTAGAGCCATTCTGTTTTCTCCCATCACAGCCATTAAACTCTGTAACTGTTTTAAAGTCACCATTGGCCTCATGGTGAAATCCCTGAGCGGTTTCCTTCCTCTCCGGCAACTGAGTTAGGAAGGACGCCTGTATCTTTGTAGTGACTGGGTGTATTGATACAACATCCAAAATATAATTAATAACTTCACCATGCTCAGCTGAGGGTCCTTACAGATAATTGTATGTGTGGGGTACAGAGATGAGGTAGTCATTCAAAAATCATGTTAAACACTATTATTGCACACAGAGTGAGTCCATGCAACGTATTATGTGACTTGTTAAGCAGATTTTTACTCCTAAACTTATGTAGGCTTGCCATAACAAAGGAGTTGAATACTTATTGACTCAAGACATTTCAGCTTTAAAATTTTTTTATACATTTTTAATTAATGTAATTCATTTGTAAAATAAAATTCCCAAAAATAAACATACTTCCACTTTGACATTATGGTGTATTGTGTGTAAGCCAGTGACAAAAAAAATATGATTTTAATCCATTTGAAATTCAGGCTGTAACACAAACATTTTGGAAAAAGGGGTGTGAATACTTTGTTTATTACTTTCTGAAGGCACTGTATGTGCTAAGTGGCACAGTGAAACTATGACCTTGGCCCTATGACCTTGCTAGCGCCATGCTCGTAACTGAGCCACACAGGACCGCACAGGTCTCATATCTTCCATCCTCCTCCCCCTCTCGCTGTTCCCCTCTGTATATACTGCATATACTTCTACTTACTGCGTTCATCCCCTGTCCATAGAATGGCACCACAGCATGGGCTGCATCCCCCATAAGGACACAATTATCACTAAGGTGATATGGGGAGCACTTCACGGACACCATGGCCTGGGCTGGTAGACGGAAATAATCCCTTTTAAGAGCGTCCCTGTGAGAGAGGGTAGCAGAGAGACACACAATGACCGCTATGACATTGATATGCATAGTGTATGGTACATGTTGATTTCTTATACAGCTACACTGCATGACCTTATCCATGCGCTCTTTTCAACCATTGTATCTAATGAGAGAAGAATATGGTCATACTCTTCGGGCTTGCATTGGCAGAGGAGGGCAGCTAGGATTTGTTTTTCAACACTCAGATAGGTGTGTTATATTGTAGGTGTTACATTCTTTATTTTAATGTAACTGTGAATTTAGACAGTGGGTGGGGGATCTAAAAGTAAACAGGATTAAAGCTGTTTCTCCTGCTGCATTTCAAGTCAACCCTGAAAAGACCTATACGAGTTACACACCTCAGCTGCAACATGCAAAACTCAGCTCTCCAAGCCACATAATGGTGGGTCAGTAATTTCACACCCAGGAGACGATGGATGTGGTTCGACCTGATGCAAGAAGAAATTAAAGGGGGCCGGAGGGATGAAGGGAGGGAAGGATGGATGGAGGGATGGAGGGGAGGGAAGGATGGATGGAGGGATGGAGGGGAGGGAAAGTCACTTACGCTCCTATTAGTGGGATGGCGTCGGGAAAGTATTTCTGGAAGAACTCAATGACCTGGTCGCCCGTGGTAACTTTTTCAAACTCGTCAAAAGGCATGAAGAGTGTGCAGGTGAAAGTCTTGTCCTGAGAACAAACAGTATGCAGATTAACACAGTAAGCCTAACAAATGGATGCTCCACATGAACTGATGGATGTGGTGTAGAGAGATGGTAATGTGTTAGCAGCTACCTAGCCAGCCCTGGCTGACTAGGCATCAGGCCAGCCTATCCCACGGGTCCTAGGAGTGTCGCTACCTTGGCAGCAATGCAATGTATTTTTGCAATGCAATGCATTTTTCACAATCCTCCCAATGCACCCTCGAGCTGTACTGAGTGACAGTGCTAATGTACCCTTGAATGAGGTGCTTTAACCTAGCCACACTCAAACAGAACAGCTTTTCCTCTTTTGCTGAATAGGCCAGAACGTTAATAATGGTATTAATAGTAGCAGTGGTGGAGGCTGAGAGGTGGGATTACTGCCTATCTGCTATAAACGCTTTGCTGACATTTTGTATGAGCGTTCGCCTCTGTTAAAAAGTAAGTCTCGACCTGTGGGAACCAGGGTATTTGAGAAGTGAAGATGTTGGTGAAAACGTTTAGTGACTAAAAAGTTTATTTTAGATAAAGTGAAATATCCCTGTTCACACTGTGTCCTCCTGCAGGTGATTAGCAATGTGACATATAAATATGTAATTAAAGTGACATACTGTATAACGAATATGCCAGCTCAGGTGACAATGTTTAAATGACTTTTGATATTTTCTAATGAGTCCATATGGTCTTTTACATTAGGTCTCTATGATCCCTTTCATACTAAGGCATTTTCCCGCAAACTTTACCATACCGCCTTTTCCTTATATCTGAAAGGTATTGCCGGTATCAAAGCCGAAAAATGTATCTCCACCTAATGACCTCGTAATTATTTTGGTAAACAGAGCCACAATGCTGAGGCGTCATTGGCACCACTACGCTCTTAAACTCTTGATGGTTGCTAGGCAGCGGCAGTTAACCATCCTCCTGCCAGATCTAAACTTTCCAAGGCATGTCACTTCTCCCATCTCTTCGCATAGCCCACCACTAAGCATGCACTGTTTTCTTAACCACAACTGGATGGATCCATAAATAATTACTGTGGGAATAAATATCACTGAATGATTCAAATATTGGACTAGTGTAGGCTTATGCAACTGAAGGCATATATCAAACTGTTGCTTACTTAAACTCCCAAAGTCATCCAATTATTGTAATATATTTGAAGCAATAGCCTACCTGCATGTGGTGAACTAGATTATAATTTCAGCACCGTTTTGATTGGGACAGCGCCATTACGCTGCTTTGAGACAAGAGTGGGGACTCGTCTTGATAAATCAATCAATGTCAGATTTGAGTTTTCACTGAATCGCCGTTTGGACATTGGTTAGGCTATGCTGTATCTATGCGGCAATAGTCTATATGCCAGGGGGCTAGGGTCAGTCTGTCCTATCTGGTGTCATGTGTGAACTTAAGTCTCTCTTAACTCTCTCTCTCAACCTCTCTCAACCTCTGAATGCTCGGCTGCTGAGGTGCTGACCTGTTGCACCCTCTACAAACACTGTGATTATTATTGACCCTGCTGGTCATCTATAAACATTTCAACATCTTGAAGAACGATCTGGCTTTAATGGCCATGTACTCTTATAATCTCCACCCGGCACAGCCAGAAGGGCTTTAGAAACGTTAGCTAAATTGAGGTGAGTGCTGCTCATGCTCATCTTGTCTAGTTGGCTCATTTATTAGAACATTTTGCCAGAATGTTATGTAGTTTAACAGGTGGATTATTATGCTCTTCACTCGCAGTCGTTTTGTAGCCTAGCATACTCCTGACAAAAAAAAGCCTGTGACTTCACTGTCTTGTCTCAATCAATGTGATTTTGTTTCACTGAACCTCCGTCTGCATAGGCTATTTGGTTAATTGGTTTCTGGCTGGCCAAATAAGTGGAAGTGGTATGTATAGCTCATCTATTCATTTGCTCATCGATCACTGATCAGAAACATTTAGCATGAAATAATGTAACCTCAATCAAGTGTAGGCCTATTATTTTGCTTGAGGCAACTCCAAAAGCCTGCGGAGGTTGTGAAATATGAACAAGACTCACATGCTTATGAAAATAGGATTGCTATTATTTTCTTTTGGAATCATGACGAAGATACTCTCAATGTAGGACCCTACACCTGCTCCCTAACAAAGTCGAGTGGGTAGGAAAAAACTCTGTTTAAAAATGTCCCTTTTTTATATGACAGTGGTTCCACACAATTCCATGGCACAAGTTGTGTGGGAAAAAATATCATTTGTATTTTATTCTGTTATATTCCATTATTACCTTACTACAAAATATGTGTGTGTTGACTATGATCAGGTAGGTGTGTCTTGTCTGTTTAATGAACAAAATAATGAACTATTGATTTCATTCATTTGGACGTAACTTAATTAAACTAACAATATGCCATTCTATTGTTTTGAAAATACATTTTATTAGCCTCATAATGTTTTTTAGGACCTGCCTAAAGCCGGGTGTACACAAAATAATTTTGGCCCCGATTTCGCTATCCCAGACAAGTTTTTGAGATCGGATTGTTTAGCGTGTGCACCACTACGATGGCAGAGGAAGGCCCTCAAAATTGTCAAAGACTCCAGCCACCCTAGTCATAGACTGTTCTCTCTGCTACCGCACGGCAAGCGGTACCGGAGTGCCAAGTCTAGGTCCAAAAGACTTCTCAACAGCTTCTACCCCCAAGCCATAAGACTCCTGAACAGCTAATCATGGCTATTTGCACTGCCCCCCCCACCCCATCTTTTTACGCTGCTGCTACTCTGTTAATTATTTATGCATAGTCACTTTAACTCTACCCACATGTACATATTACTTCAACTACCTCAACTAGCCGGTGCCCCCGCACATTGACTCTGCACCGGTACCCCCCTGTATATATAGCCTCCCTACTGTTATTTTATTTTACTTCTGCTCTTTTTTTCTCAACACTTTTTTGTTTTATTCTACTTTTTTATTTAAAATAAATGCACTGTTGGTTAAGGGCTGTAAGTAAGCATTTCACTGTAATGTCTGCACCTGTTGTATTCGGCGCATGTGGCCAATAAAATTTGATTTGATTTGATTTGAAGTTTTTAAAAACTACAGGAAAGACGGTCGTTTAATGTGAGAGGCTCAGCGATGTTAGGACTTTGAAAGTCGTGCAATGTACACTCGGCTTAAATTAAATAATATATTTATTTTTGATGGTTTATATTCAATGGATTTACTAAAATATACGCCCACACATCTGCACACCAGTACTACCACTCATCCCCAGCATGCCGGCATACGCACGGGAGGTATAAAAGGCGTGTATGCAGGCAAGAATGTTGTTAAAATGGGCCTGTTTGTAAGGGGGTTAAATAAAAAGCAGTATATTTTACATCGCTTTAGAGACATTTTCTCATAACGTGTTTAAACTTACCTACCCTCTATTATCAAGTTTAGCACATGATAATGAAGCTGAGAGGATAGATAGAGTATGTAGACGAGGGTAAACAAACACAGTGTTCTATTTAGACTCACCAAGTTGGGCAGAGCAATCATCATGAATGTGTTGCGTGGCCATATGTGCAGATAATTGGGCTTCATGGCAAACTGGGAGCAAAGTAAAAGAAATGACGGCATTATAACAGTATAAAGAAGGTAAACACATTATATAGAACAGACACAGTAGCTTTGCAAATTGTAAACTATTTGAAACATGGGCCGTATTCAAAAATTGTCTTAGAGTAGGATTGCTGATCTAGGAGCTGTTCATATAATTTTACTCATTATTATCTAAAAGGCTAAACTGATCCTAGCACTGCTACTCTGAGACTGTTTTTGAATATGGCCCCTGGCCTGATCCTGTGTGGCATGTTCTGAGCATCAGAGGACCAACCTCTCCATTGATGGGGGGCATGGTGAGCTCCAGGTACCCATGGGGGATGTAGGTCTGACTGAAGTTGAAACGGCTCTGACGGAGGAACTGTTTCCGGATGGCAGAGAATGCTCCATCACACCCCACAATCAAGTCTGCCTGGATCTCCTCCTTTGCACCATCAGCCCTTAGACACACCATACAGTACCACCAACATCATTCCACAGATAGATGCTATTACATTTGTAATTCATTAAATGTGATCATTTAAAAACTTCAATGTCAATAAATGTGTCAGTTTATAATTAATTTTAAATAGGGCTTATTCACTAACATTCTACCTAAGTTAATAATTCACAGCGGTAGGGAGGTTTTGCTGCTAATTTGCTTTTAAATTGTATGACACAATTACCTCAAGACCACCCAATTACAGACCTATAAAAAAAATCTACCCAGAGGCTTAAAAGCAACATGTATGCTGTTGAACACACACACTAGGCTACATGCAATTAAATGCAGGAACACAGAGTCCAACCGAAAGCAATAAAGCAAGAACAAGGCAACTTTAGTCAACACTTTAGAAAGAGAGAGGGAGGTAGAGTTAATGTGAGTGTGTGTGTGTGTGTGTGTGTGTGTGTGTGTGTGTGTGTGTGTGTCCGTCCGTGTGATTAGTAACTATTTACCTGAGAAAGGTCATCGACCCTGTTTCAGTGCTCCAATTGAGTAGTTTGTGGGCGAAGTTCAGCTTTGTGTTTGAATACGTCTCTGCCGCTGCAGTTACAGAACAAAGCATTAAATAATTAGACTTGCATGACACAGCAAACATTGGGCAAAACCTTACAAAAAGCCTTACAAAACCATTGTAAAAGGCTTGTATAGATATTGTTGACTGTGTAGTAAACACAGTCTAGAGCTGTTGTTATATGACATGATTGACTACATTAGTCTATTATATGACATTTACTAGTCTACTTAAACATTCATGAGTATAGCTCTTCTTGTGTGTGCATGTCAATCACATTTTAGTATACATAGTGACAGAAGGCCCTTTGATCTTCAGAGTTCAATGTGCCTGAAACTGCCCTACTGTTGATAACAGACCATGTAGTCCAGGGATGAGCAACTTTGATGGGGTTGGGGGCCACAAAAATCTGAACCCCTCATGAGGGTCACAGTCGCTCGTGGGTCTGCGTAACCTCATCCATGCCCCCCTCTTGACAGCAGATAAAACATTTTTGAGTTAATTCAGTGCAATTCTACACATTAAGAATGTTGCGGTTTAAAGCAATTCTACACATTTTGCCATGAGGCGGCGAGAAGATTTTGCATTTTTATAACTCATTTCATGCAATTTTACTCATTTTGCCATGTGGCGGAGAGGGAAATTAGCTGTTTTACATCAAACTTCCTGCAATTCTACACATTTTGAAATAGGGTGGAGAGAAATGTTTGCAGTTTTTAATATGATATTTGAGTGAGAATGACTAACATAATCAATGTGGGGCACCATCGACCATGATAACAAGTTTAGATAGCTGGCCGCTAAACTAATTTAGCAATCTAAAAAATGTAAGCTGACATGGGCTAATTGACTGACTATCAGTGACTGACATAACAAGAGAAAAACTGCTGATTCACAACCAAATTTCAAAATTGCACCTTGTGTATTCTACTATTCTAACTGGCAACAGTAATTTGAGACCCTGACTGATCCGAGGGCCTTCAAAAGGGGTGCTGCCGCCAGTTGCCCATCCCTGATGTAGACTATTAGAAAACCCATAACAGAAACCCCTATGTGTCTCATTAGTCAGAAGAATCATCCTCTCACTAACCTATTATCTCTACCCCAAGGCTGTAGAGCTTCATTTAACATTAGGCAAACATATTTTTAGACCCAAAAACAGCCTTAGGTTTTATTAGTCGTATGTACAGGATACACATGGTATACACCGTCCAACTAAATTCTTACTTACAACAATAAGAAATAATAAAATATAAGAGTACAAACATAAAGTAAATGGCTCAGTAGAATAGAATAAACATTTTTGCATAAGTATAATACATGAAGGCACAATGTATAGTCCAATATTGACACATTTTGGGGGGAAGGGGGGATTGGGGTGCAAGTGTTTAAATTGTACAGTATTTAATGTCTAAGCCTTCATGCACTTTAATGAGAACCATGGAAATATGTTAAACCCAGGGGAAATCTTCTGTATTAAAATTATTTAAAAAATGTCAGTGGTTAAGCCAAGTGGAAAGAAAAAGACATCTCTATTTAACCTTAAACTTTACAGATAGTTTTAAGACCGTACTTTTAACAAGCACATAAGGTGAGGGAAACTATTCATATTCATCTTAATAATTTATCTTATTTAATCTTAGAAATGGCAGATTGACCTACAGGTAGATAATACAAGATTAACCTATTTGCCATTCAAGATGAGTGGATAGGCATACTGCATTTCAATAAGCACATACAATATTGAGAATCTGACATGCTCTCCAGAGCCCTATACTTAGTTAGCGAGGTAACTTCGGTCAACTCTGAGTTCAACTCTGGATAACTGGTACCACGAAAGTGGCTCACCTTTTAGCCAGGTAAATTTCTATGGCAACGAATCCTTCAGCACTAACATGCTCCTGGGCAGGCTATCTTAGGGCTAACTCCATTTATGTACATTTACATTTTAGTCATTTAGCAGACGCTCATTTATCCTGAATGAAGTGTCTGAGCCGCAAGTTGAAGACCAATGAAATCAGATTCCCTCCCTCTCGCAAAGATTGCGTCATCATCCCCTTCATTTGAAGAAGACGACTGATTAAATATTTTATTCATTAAATGTTTTTTTGTGTGTTGAAAAAGTATTATGTTAAAATACCTTTCACATTACACATTTAGTAATGACATAATGAATTTGAAACTTCACGCACAGTAAAACTTGTGTATGACTTAATATCATTATGTTATCGATAGGAGTGGGAAAAAAGGTGCTTGTGCATTGATAAGTACCCCAAAGACGGCATTAATGATAAGTAATAAAATAAAGACGGCCCTTCAACAAGCCTATTTCACACCATAGCCTGCTGAATTTGCAAGCTAACTTTTCTTTCATTTTGATTTTGTCACAAATTAAAATGTGGCACTGACTTGCCCATGGATTTATGTTTCAGCATTGCCTCAATGAAGAGTCTGGCATTCGACTAGGAATGTGTGACATCCACACGCAGTTCCAAGCCTGCTAGAGTTAGCGGCAGGCGTACAAGCAATATCCACTGTCGTAGTATGGATGAAGCCTGAGCTGGAATGTGAATCTAACTGAAGCTGGCTAGCTTTAGAAAACCCAGAGTAGACCTTTCTTCAATAGAAGTATACCCCTCAGGCATCATGGGAATAAGGATTTTCATTCTCCTACCTGACAACAGTTCTTTGTTGAGGTTGGCTCTGTCAACAGACAGGATGTGCTGAAAAGAGAACAGGATGTTACAGTACCCCTCAACTACACATAATAATGTGACCCTGTAAAACTGACACAACCACTTTTTTATACAAAAACATACTTGTCAACAAGGAATACATTTCAAATACATTTAGAAGCAATGCTCGGGAGTCTTAAAACGTTCAGTGACTGAAATGTGTGTGGGATCGGGGAGTTTGTCTATTGTCTAGTAAGAATCACTGAGTTGATAGCATGAGTAAGCCTTTGATTCAAATCACCTTCTGAAGTGTTGAGTGGATGGGATAATTGATTTAGTGGAACATCCATCGGGAGTGCACTTTTTTATCTTGTCCTTTCTACTTGAACAATTGGGTAGAATAAAATCCCTCTCTTTCCCCCAGAAGAAATAAATACTTCTCGAATTAGCTAACATGTCTTCCCCTTCCACCCCTCTCTCCATCACCACTCTCTGCCTAGCCGATCTCCCCTAATTATTTTCCAGAACTTTTTTTCTATGTCTGACTGTGTTATTCACTTTTTCTCATCTACATATCTTCCCACTTCTCTTAATGACAGAGGGATTACTGAGTTTAGTGGGCTACTATGAAGACGGTGGCCTAAATATAGTTCCCCTTTAAAGACAGAATAAGACAGAGGTTAACCCCTTTCAAAAACACGACTCCCCACAGCTCAGTGTAGACAATAGTGCTCCCCTCCCTCCATCATCATATTGCAGGGTACCTGTCCTGAGCTGAGCATCACCTTTACTATAGGGTGGAATTACAGCTCATGCCATCTATCATAGGTACAGAACCAAACAGAAACATGATGTGACAATGTTGGGAAGTTTCCACCACACTAGGCCAGACCTGGGTTTAAATATTATAATTTCAAATACTTGATTGAGCTTGCTTGTTGAAATGGAATCAATACAAAATTCCGAAATGCAAACACCACCCAACTGGCACTCCCGGCAGTCTGAGGCAAACGCTTAAAGCATTTGAAAGAGTGCAAATACTATTTGAACTAATGTCTACAATGGTCACGGTGGGCTGGTGTACATTTTACGGTGTTGTCTGAAGTCATAAACCTTGTAATAGATTAAAAAGCTTCCTCTCAAGCTAAAATAAATATAACAGGTACATTGTGCTTTGTTTCAGGTCTGGATTATCACCCTCCTTGACCTCAACAGCCCATTGTGACCAGTGCAGACATGAGTTCAAATACTATTTGTACTCTTTCAAATACTTTAAGCATTTGCTTTAGTGTGCATGGTGGGCAGTGTTTGCACTTTTGGCGATTTTTCTATTGGTTCCATTTCAACAAGCAAGCTCAATCAAGCACAGCTAAAGTTTTTGAAATGATAGGGGAAACAGCGCCACTGCCCACCCCATGGCCATTGTTATTGTTTGACGAAGCAGAGCAGGGGAGCATCCCACATTGTGGTAAAAAAAAAGTGCAGTACATATGCTGCTGTTCTATCGCACGTGCAATGATGTCAGAGGGGAAAAAAACTATGTTAGTTGTTTGCAATAACTTCTTTGTTATTGTAATATCGCAAACGGACGTGGCAGTTTCACCATTAAAGATTCCAGCTTTAACTGACTATTCACACCGTGAGAACCTAAGACAGGTGTTAATTTGAAATTAAATGTAATCAAGTATTCTGGGATTGAAATAAAGGCCTGCTTTATTTAAGGGATTTTCGAGATGATGAATCACACAACCCTCATTCCCTTTGCTCCTTGTCGCAAACAAGTGTAATGATTAACAGAGTCCCTTCGGGATGGAAGAGGTCCTGTTGATTCAGTAAATCTGAGGCCACTGACCATGTTTTTATCTCTATGCACTTTCTTGGTTGCAAATGCAAGCGACGCAAATGCCACTCCAATTCAAGAATGACCCATAATCAACTGTTATTATAACATTACTCAGCACAGATTCCACCACTTTGGCACTGTTTAACTGTTTATGTATTGAACTGTTCATCAATGATAAAACATAATGCAAGTCCTTTATACTGCAATTATTTTTTGCATTGATTGAAGTACTTAGGGCAAGAAAATGGGTTTGTCCCAGTAGTGATGAGTGGAGTTAAAGTGACTTATTTTGGAGATTTAGAGATATCGATCTATTATTTTGAATGCTAGAAAGTAAACAAAAAAGTATTTAATATATTGTATAGAAAGAAAATAAATCTAGAAAAATGTACTTAATTTATTCCAAAATGCCATATCCAAATGACACCGCAATTCAAGAACGACCCTTATGCTACAGAGACAGTGTAAAAACTACGAGAGAGTGGGAGTGACTCAAAGAGTATGTTTATATGCACACTAATAATTCGATATTAAACTGATTATGGAAGTTAGTCATGTAAACACTTTACTCTGCTTATCTTAAATCGGCATAAGGTCATAATCGAAGTAAGCATACACCGATTAAAACAACTGGTTTTCTGAGCAATCTTTCAAATTATTATGACACTTAAACACCTTAATCAAAGTTACAGTGGTGTATTTGATCTGCGCATGTGCTAGCACGAGAAGCGCGAGCTTCCTTCTTTTGCGCGAGTGAAGTGAGTTCGGAAAAACTGAAAGTATCCATCTTAGAAATAGTTTTAAAATACAAACTTTATATGTCCGAACTCAGAATAAAATAGTTTTCACAAAAATAACATGGTCGCTGTGTTAGAACGTGTATTTTGATAGCCGATTATCTGCAATAATCAAAGTCCCATTATGTTGTCTGATTTCAGATGTGTCCATGTAAACAGGATTATTAGGGAAATTGTTCTTCTTGCAAAGCATGTAAACGTTTAAATCGAACTATTATATTAATCTGACTATTCACAATAATCATATCATTGTGTGCATGTAACCGTACTCAATGATGTATTTAAGATACTGTAATTATACATAAGTAATACAAAAGGCTGACAGAGTACTGTGTTACAAGATAATGGTCATACTTTGTCTTGCGTGTAGAATTAATTCTTAATCTATCTAATGGGAGTTACAGTGTGGTGTGTGTAGGCGTTACCTGGCCTTTCTTGCCATAAGGAATGGGGGACTGTGTCCCATTCAAAGAGTGGATCATTCTGGAATGCATGGGGATTCCTTTGGAGACAATCTGGAGAAGAAATCAAACTGGTCAGATTTGCTCATGAACTTTTACATTGTCAGTGTATCAACAATAACATGGTGAAAACAAACATATTGAAAAAGGAATCCAGCACTAAGTTCTCTAGCAACAACAATTGGCAAAACATTTCAAACACATCTATCCGTTCGGCCGTAGTTCAGGAAAGTGGATATTCTTGGCTCTAAATATGGGCTACCTAAGTTCATTCTGTCCCTCATCATGACTGCCCTTGAAGAGATATCTCCCTCACTAACTTTAAGCATCAGTTGTCAGAGCAGCTTACCGATCACTGCACCTGTACACAGCACATCTGTAATTAGCCCACCCAACTACCTCATCCCCATATTGTTATTTACATTGTTATTTATTTTGCTCATTTGCACCCCAGTATCTCTATTTTCACATCATCTTCTGCACATCTATCACTCCAGTGTTAATACTAAATTGTAATTATTTAGCACTATGGCCTATTTATTGCCTTACCTCCATAACTTACTACATTTGCACACACTGTATATAGATTTTCTATTGTGTTATTGACTGTACGTTTTGTTTTTGTTTATTCCATATGTAACTCTGTGTTGTTGTTGTTGTTTTTATCGCACTGCTTTGCTTTATCTTGGCCAGGTCGCAGTTGTAAATGAGAACTTGTTCTCAACTGGCTTACCTGGTTAAATAAAGGTGAAAAAAAATAAAAAGGTTTACTTGAAAAGCTGGCGAAGCAAACGTGACCCTGTCATGCTATGGAAATGTAAAATAACATTCTGAAGCTGTGCCTGCCGAGGCATACATAACACCCCTGGTGCATCAAATGTGTGCCCAATAAAATAATATAATTGCTGACCTCAGTTGTTAGAATATAACATTTTAGAGAACTGAGTACAGGGGGCCATCCGGATGTACCCAGGGGGCCTGGTCACTTTGAATATTTCATCATTATGAATACAGCAAAATAAAAACAAAGAGCGGCTGCCTGGTTCCGTTCTCATCTCTTACGTGCTCTTGAGACTAGGAATTCAATTTCCCAAAGTGGTAGCCAAGAAGGACAAAACAGGACAGCATACCGTGTCTTCCATTCCCACTTGCTTCAATGCCTGGCGACCCCTGTGAGATAGAGCTAGATTGATGCTTCTTCCCTTGACTATTTTGGCTTGGCGGATATCTGGTCAGGATCAGAGACGGACAGAGAGATCAAACATTCAGGTATGACTATACTCAAGGGTAACATACACAAGCTACTGGTCAATCCAAATGTAATTTCTCTGCATCTGGTGAATGCTTGTGAAACCAGTGTCATATTTTGACGCATGTTTAGATTGCTGTTTGATTGCTACCAGGACAGAAGCCATTGTGCTCTGTTGTTAGGAATTTTGTAATGACTAATGACTGCATGCAGTGCATACTTCCAAAATAGATGCAGACTACTTTGTAGCTGTTCAAAATAAGAGGAAGCACTTTATATGTTGTATAATCAAGTGTTTACCGTCTCGAGATTCAAAGACCTCTACTTGAAAACCTCTTTTTGCAAAGTAGCAGGCATTCAAGGCGCCGACCTGAGAGAGGATTGAATGAGTCTGTTAAAGGCTTGCATGTTTTTGCATTAGTTTATGGTGCAGGCAGCATCTATTAGCATCTACAACCTCAAGAAATTAAGTATCACAAAATAGAAATAGATTACCCTTATTTACATTTACATTTTAGTCATTTAGCAGACGCTCTTATCCAGAGCAACTTACAGTTAGTCCTTATATTTTATAAATAGATTAGACATAGATTAGATAAATTGTTCATGTTGTGACAAGGTTTTTATAAAAGTAAATATCAGCAGCCTGTTTACATTATTCACACTTCCATTTTGATTTCTTACCAAACCACCTCCCACCACAGCTACCACTTTTTTCTTGCTGGTTGAATAATCCATTGTAGTTTATGTCGTTCTACTGGGGTCTTGCAGAGTGTCCGTTTTGCCTTTCAGTGATCTGGGACACTGAAATCAATTCCTGCCTGAGCCGATTAAATTAAAACGTCTTTCCTAGGACAGCCAGGGTTTTGAGGGGAGGAGCGACCCCGGATCTCATAAATGTCATCCTCGTAGTGGTTGGTTCGCTTTTCCTCAAAATGCAAACAAATCAGAGATAGTTCAGAGTTGAGGAATTCCCCATGAGCAGCTGAAGCGCACACAGAAACAGAAAGATTACAAGAGCCACTGGATTACACTCCTTTTACTAGGAACTGCTGTGTGAATGATCTGATAGGTGATTATGTTGTAGTAAAAAATCACTTCAATGAAAAAATTACTGCGGTCCAGTTAGGATAGCTTTTCGCTAATCAATGTTGTGAAACAAAAGAGCATAGATCCCTAACGATGCCTATACTGACATTAGGAGAAATTACACATTTACTCTGAAATTCAACCATTGGATGCTGGTTTACTTTAAATTGCTCATGCTGTATTATGATGAACTAACTTTTCAGAGATAAAAGAAAAAAAGATCCACAGAGACTAGGCCTACATGCAACTGCTGCGCAATCGCCCATCGCTGGGATCGATAAACATGAGTCTCTTGTTCCCTCTTCTGGTCATGTAAGCATAAAGCACCCACACACATTTCAGGGATAGGAACAATACTTTTTCGATTCGTATGGGTTAGAACATTTCTCTAACGATTTGATTTTAGGATTTAAAAAAGATAATGTTGCAATCGGCCAGTGATTATGAAACCTCTCCGAGTGGACACCATGAGGTTTCACAATTTTGTTGTAGCCCTGAATTAGCTCACCTGGGGCCGCATTTATAAACGTTGCATAGGCACAAAAAAAATCCCCAAAACATGCGTGCGCCAGTTTACGCAAAAGTTGGCATTTATAAGAACTGAAATTGACGTGAAAATGTGCTTATCGTGCCGCAAACTTCAGACCATGCGTATGCAGTTTCTAGTGGTTGAAGTACTGCATTGCAAGAAGGCAAAAGTGGCCTAGTAATAACCTTGTGCAAATGAGGAGTGTACAAAAAACGGACATAGACTGACCAGGTGAATCCAGGTGAAAGCTATAATCCCTTTGATGTAAATTGTAAAATCCCCTTCAATCAGTGTAGATGAAGGGGTGGAGACAGGTTAAAGAAGGATTTTTAAGCCTTGAGACAATTGCCATTCAGAGGGTGTATGGGCAAGACAAAAGATTGAAGTGCCTATGAACGGGGTATGGTAGTAGGTGGTGCCAGGCGCACCGGTTTGAGTGTGTCAAGAACTGCAATGTTGCTGGGATTTTCACACTCAACAGTTTACTGTGTGTATCAAGAATGGTCCACCACCCAAAGGACATCCAGCAAACTTGACACAATTGTGGGAAGCATTGGTGTAAACATGGGCAAGCATCCCTGTGGAACACTTTCGACACTTTGTAGAGTCCATCCCCCTACGAACTGAGGCTATTCTGAGGGCAAAAAAATAAGGGCAGTTACAACTCAATGTTAGGTGTTCTTAATGTTTTGTACTCTCAGTGTATGATGACACTTATTCATAACAAAACAGGTAGCTAAATATAATAACAAGATGCAATCATTTGCCTTTAATGAAAACGAAAATCGATTTATTTTATCTTTGCATTATAAAATAATTAGAATTAGGCACCTATTTCCTATTATTTATTTCATTTCCATGGTCATTACAGAATAAATTCCTCACCTTTTCTGACTGATAGTTTCATACATCGCTGTGAAGCAGGCAATTACTTCCGTGTCACAGATTTTTGGCATCCTTCAGAATAAAAGTCCCGTCCTGTATACTTTGTAAATGAATAATTAGGGCGAAATGATGGAAAATTTGCACAATTATCGATATATTGTACACTAGTTATAATCCAAAGAATAATTAAAAGTATTTATATCAGATATGTCATTTATTTGTTTATTTTTTTCAAGGCTAAATGGTCAACAATGTTTTGTGTGTGTGTACTCATTATTTATTGCGCTGTACAAAATTATCTGTACGTCGTGTCGCAGCAGTAAAAGGGGGGTCCACTCTACTCAGGAGCAGTGGCGTGTACAAATATTTGACCAATGTTTTTGTGTTTAATAATCAATCTGTGTTTTCATAATTTTCTGTCAATTCGCAAGTGGCTGAATCTCGCCGGAGATATCATCCGAGCGAGGGAAACAGCGCCCCTCTGTCTCAGTATGTGTAGGCCATGTATCTGATGCTGTCTGGACCAAAAGATTTTAACATGTAGCCGCAGTAGCATTTCATTGATTGATGCCAGCAAGCATTTGGCCTCTCTTGATAAGAAGAATGCCCCTCTCCCCACCGGTGTGATTACTACCTTAATCACCTCATAAAAATACTTGGGAGTATGGCTAGACAGTCCTTCTCTCAGCACATATCAAAGCTGCAGACTAAGGTTAAATCTACATTTTTACATTTCAGTCATTTAGCAGACGCTCTTATCCAGAACGACTTACAGGAGCAATTAGGGTTAAGTGCCTTGCTCAAGGGCACATCAACAGATTTTTCACCTAGTTGGCTCGGGGATTAGAACCAGCGGCCTTTCGGTTACTGGCACAACGCTCTTAACCACTAAGCTACCTGCCGTTTGGTTTCCTCTATCGTAATCGCTCCTCTTTCACCCCAGCTGCCAAACTAACCCTGATTCAGATGACCATCCTACCCATGCTAGATTACGGAGACGTAATTTATAGATTGGCAGGTAAGGGTGACCTCGAGCGGCTAGATGTTCTTTACCATTCAGCCATCAGATTTGCCACCAATGCTCCTTATAGGACACATCACTGCACTCTATACTCCTCTGTAAACTGGTCATCTCTGTATACCCGTCGCAAGACCCACTGGTTGACGCTTATTTACAAAACCCTCTTAGGCCTTAGGAATTTGTTCTTAACTGACTTGCCTAGTTAAATAAAGGTTAATATATATATATATATATATATATACAGTGAGGGAAAAAAGTATTTGATCCCCTGCTGATTTTGTATGTTTGCCCACTGACAAAGAAATGATCAGTCTATAATTTTAATGGTAGGTTTATTTGAACAGTGAGAGACAGAATAACAACAACAAAAATCCAGAAAAACGCATGTCAAAAATGTTATAAATTGATTTGCATTTTAATGAGGGAAATAAGTATTTGACCCCCTCTCAATCAGAAAGATTTCTGGCTCCCAGGTGTCTTTTATACAGGTAACGATCTGAGATTAGGAGCACACTCCTAAAGGGAGTGCTCCTAATCTCAGTTTGTTACCTGTATAAAAGACACCTGTCCACAGAAGCAATCAGTCAATCAGATTCCAAACTCTCCACCATGGCCAAGACCAAAGAGCTCTCCAAGGATGTCAGGGACAATATTGTAGACCTACACAAGGCTGGAATGGGCTACAAGACCATCGCCAAGCAGCTTGGTGAGAAGGTGACAACAGTTGGTGCGATTATTCGCAAATGAAAGAAACACAAAAGTCCTGTCAATCTCCCTCGGCCTGGGGCTCCATGCAAGATCTCACCTCGTGGAGTTGCAATGATCATGAGAACGGTGAGGAATCAGCCCAGAACTACACGGGAGGATCTTGTCAATGATCTCAAGGCAGCTGGGACCATAGTCACCAAGAACACAATTGGTAACACACTACGCCGTGAAGGACTGAAATCCTGCAGCGCCCGCAAGGTCCCCCTGCTCAAGAAAGCACATATACATGCCCGTCTGAAGTTTGCCAATGAACATCTGAATGATTCAGAGGAGAACTGGGTGAAAGTGTTGTGGTCAGATGAGACCAAAATCGAACTCTTTGGCATCAACTAAACTCGCCGTGTTTGGAGGAGGAATGCTGCATATGACCCCAAGAACACCATCCCCACCGTCAAACATGGAGGTGGAAACATTATGCTTTGGGGGTGTTTTTCTGCTAAGGGGACAGGACAACTTCACCGCATCAAAAGGGATGATGGACGGGGCCATGTACCGTCAAATCTTGGGTGAGAACCTCCTTCTCTCAGCCAGGGCATTGAAAATGGGTCGTGGATGGGTATTCCAGCATGACAATGACCCAAAACACACGGCCAAGGCAACAAAGGAGTGGCTCAAGAAGAAGCACATTAAGGGCCTGGAGTGGCCTAGCCAGTCTCCAGACCTTAATCCCATAGAAAATCTGTGGAGGGAGCTGAAGGTTTGAGTTGCCAAACATCAGCTTCGAAACCTTAATGACTTGGAGAAGATCTGCAAAGAGGAGTGGGACAAAATCCCTCCTGAGATGTGTGCAAACCTGGTGGCCAACTACAAGAAACGTCTGACCTCTGTGATTGCCAACAAGGGTTTTGCCACCAAGTACTAAGTCATGTTTTGCAGAGGGGTCAAATACTTATTTCCCTCATTAAAATGCAAATCAATTTATAACATTTTTGACATGCGTTTTTCTGGATTTTTTTGTTGTTATTCTGTCTCTCACTGTTCAAATAAACCTCCCATTAAAATTATAGACTGATCATGTCTTTGTCAGTGGGCAAACGTACAAAATCAGCAGGGGATCAAATACTTTTTTCCCTCACTGTATATATATATATATATATAATAAAACAATTAGCCAATCAGCGTTGAGCTGAGATCAACTGTTGGTTGTCCTGGTGCAGCAAAACGCTCCCCAAGAGAGGCCAGTTTGGATTTGGCTTCAGACTAATCAAATCACTTCCTTTGCAAATCATCATTTTCTGAAGAACTTGTTTGTTTCTGGTCTGCTTGAGTTGATGTCCTGCAGTAGGTAGCTTGCTAAATCGACCCTTTCCTAAGCCATGGATGGAGATGGGGATTTGGATTTGTGGTTTTGACATAGTTTTCTGTACAGGCCAATGATTATGATGGCGATTCTGATCTAACCATCAATTAATATGTTGTGCCACTGGCCTGAGACTTTGAAGTTCAATATGTAGCCTAGCAAGCTAGCTAACTTAGCTGGTTCATTGTTGTCAATGCAAGGAAGTAGGCTAGCAAGCATTTTAGCTAGGTAGCCTCAACAAAAACTAAAAGTGTACTGTATGACAGAGCCATAGACCGTTTTGCCAACATGAAAGAGAGGACGATGGCATTTGCATTCAACTAGTTGGGTGAGTCAACA